TTTATCCCTTGTTTTTTTTTTCAACAAAAAAAAACATTTGCAAAACAAGTGTGGTATTCCGTCTCAAAGTTGTGGGGGCACCACCCCCCACGGTCCCAGAGTTGGGGGGGGGGGGAGGCAAGCTGCCCTCACTGCCCCCGATTCCCGCGCCTATGTATGTAACAGCTAACATGTTTTGAATGAAGGATGATGCAACACTTTTTCAGTGAACTTTGCCCATTTCTTTGGTTATTAAGTTATATAATCCATCTTGCAAAAGCACCAGTTGTTAGTGATCAGCTAATTCCACCGGCTTAAGATTATTATCTGAAATTTGTCCGTTCATAGAATGAGCTCCGGTAAACTATGCTTTCGGGATATTCAGTAATGACTCTCTACCTAGAATTAGCTGATTAGAGGACGTTGATCATGCCTTCCATTAGAGTTATCCGCCGGATCTTGACAACGCTGTGCGGTGAAACACGGTTTTCTCATTACAGTTGGTGAATGTCTAAGGCATGTCACAGGGTTTGGTCGCCCTGTCTGTTACTGCTGCCGGAAGGTCTATGCCAAGTAATTGAGGTCATTTCCTAAATGCATCAGTTTCCTATGATATATTTCCTTTGAAAAACAGTTTTATTTATAAACCTGGGAGCAACTTTTTTCCATGTTCTGCAATTTCTTTTAGCTGTCGGGCTATTGGTAATATTTATTTTCCATCATGCACTGAAATGACAGCGCAATATAATTAATGTTAATTCCGCATGAGCTGTTACATTTACAGACCATCAAATACTTTCTTTACCTCATCGTTGTAAACCGTCAACGGATAAACGCTGGGTGGCACATAAGCAAGTAGACCACTGTCCACAGAAATGCTATATGTGGTCTTCCTTTTCATCGTCCTTTAAGACCACAGACTATGGAGCAAAAAGTCGTAGGCGATGCTCGAAACTTACTAAAAAATATCAACTATTTGGAAAGGATGCATGCGGAAGCCATTTTCGGACAATGAAGAGGCGGGGACTGGCTATGTTACCCCCCCTCCCCCCATGACCTCAGCGGAACATGGACCACTGCGCTAACTATTCCCTATGTTCTAAAGAGCGAAAACGTAACTATTCCCTAAGTTTTAAAGAGCCAAAACGGACAATACAGATAATATGTCTACATATATTGATTTAAACCTGTGTACACTGTACAGTAAATCTTCGAATGCCAAATTTACTCAGCGGGAGTTACTTTGCAGACCGACTTCCGCCGGCTGAGGGGGACTCTGATTGGCCGGAGTAATTTAGAACTCAAACCTAACTGTGCGCTCAGTTAAGATGTGGGTCGTGCTCGCCAACTTCAACACACAGCGGCTGTTCCCACGAACCGCAGGCCATTCTCTCCTTGAGCTGTGTCGAACGCTGGAGTGTTTACGAATCTTACTCTTGAGCCTTAGCACCCCACCGCATTTTAAATTTTCTGATGATATAAAATACCTAGATACTTTGTGAATGACCTCTCCTTGAAATTGTATGTAGGATATATTTTACAAACAGTCAAATACGAATTTTCGATCACGGATCTTTGTCAAATCACATTCAAAATTCAAAAACATACAATTTCAAGGAGAGGTCATTCACAAAGTATTTTAAAGTACAAATGCTCCTTGCACAAGCACTAAGAAGACTGAAAATACCTAGAGCTTAAATCAAGAGTCCAAGTATGTAATGTTCCAGCAACCTATGTTTCCTATACGATAGTTACAGTACATTATACAGATGTGAGATGATCACTGAATGCTATTTAACATTATATAAATAATGTATCCTATGAGAAGCCTTTAATCAACATCACGTCGCATTATATGTCACCTATACCTTCACATATTCAGTCTATTCAGACAGGGACTTTCTGAAGATGACTCGTATTCGCACAATATCGCGTGCAATGCCGCTCTTGCGCGTCACGAAATGATTGGACCTATAGACACGATACCTTTCTGCCTACCTATGTGGGCTGGCCGACGCGGCATTAACTGAATATGCGATATATTTTAACTGCATGCCTTCAGGTCATACTCACGCTACATCCGCGATGTTCGAATGGCCCAACCGGTTTGCTGAGTTACCATGTGCATAGGAAACGGCTGTCACCATCAATAAGTGACTTCTAAAAATCTATTTTACACGTATGCGCTCATTGACTACATTGCAATGCGTGTTTTAGATGACAGTAAGTGTTGATACCAGTGTGAGTGCGTTGTTCGGATATGGTTTCGTTTTCTGTGCAATGCAGACCACGCTGCTCTGTACGGTCTACTGCAGAGCTTATACGCCACCAGAGCTACGCCACGAAGGGGTGGTGGCGCCCGAAAATCTGTCTGCCGCGGTATTATTCGCTCTCAGATAGTTGGGCAACTTGTCACAAGTCTGGTCCAAACAGGCACCCCGTTAGATATTAGTTGCCGACTTCGGCTGGCTGAAGGAAACACTGGGCGCTTCCTGTTAAGGGCACCCCGCGGCTCCTAACGACACCCAGCAACGGGCGCGGAGGGCTCCGCGGGGAAACGATTCGAACCAATAGGAAACGCTATTTAAATTGCAGACAGTAGACCAGATGGTCAAATGATTTCAGCTCATTTTAATTCAAAGTCCTGGCTTTAATCTGATTTGGCCGCGCAAGATAAATGGCGTGTGTTTCGGCGTGGTCTTCTGTGATTGTGACACAATTCAGCAGATCTTGCATTTATCAGGCAGGCTGTGATAGCTTGAAAGAAATTTGGTGTCTAGGACTTATTGGCTGGGTGCACCGTTGACCGTAATTTTGCCATCCGAATGTTGAATACTGCGCCTGGTTGGATCATATACCTTATATGCTCAAATTCAGGGAGTGAGGTTTACGAACATATATGCAGAAGTAGTTTGTGGTAGGGCGGTAAAGCTGGGAGTAGGGGCATGGGAATCTGGGAATAATTTGTAAAGGAACCGTTTTGAGTGGGTGTGTTTCTGCGACTAGACCGTTTTTGCGGGTGCGTTTCTACGACTGAACCGTCTAGAGCGGGTGTGTTGCTGTGACTGGATAGTTTGGAGCCTGTGTGTTTCTGCGTCTGGACCGTTTTAGCGGGTGTGTTACTTCGGACCGTTTCGGTCGGCCGGTGGTGGCCGAACGGTCGGCGCAGAGCAGTCGGCTGGAGCGGCTATCGGGGACAGGTTTACTTCTGGTTTACGATTATTGCCTGTCAGGCGCGGCAGCTCCATGGTCGGCTGGTGGCGGCCGACCGCCACGGTCATCGCGGACCGTTGGACCGATGACGTCTTCAAGGGCGTGCGGCCTGTTTGGCCGATGACGTCCAGAAAGAGAGAGTCATACAATGGCCGTCGCGGACTATGGACTGAACTCCAGAGGGAACGGGCGCGTCCTAGGGTTGTGCACCACCACTGGGCACCGACCTACCCAGAACTTACCTACATGATTCTCATGATTCTCATGATTCTCTTCGCCATCGTGATGCTGCCAACACGTAAAAGTATCAGTTACTTGCGGCACGGGACTGTGCGCTTCATCCCATCTCTTAGCACTTCTATCATTATAGGTTATTTTCTATTTTGCTTTCTTTGAGAAATACCTACGCTTCGTCTGTCCTTATCTGTCAAGCTAATCAAAATACAACCCGAATAGTATATTTTCATACATTTATACTGAACTCGTGATAAAACTCTTATGGACAGTGAATAACAGTGATGCCCAACTCTTAAACATGATGTTATCGACTCATTCAAGTAAAATCACACTGTACAAGCACTCCAGTTCTCTTGTCCAGCACACGCCACACTTGGAGCATTTCGAGCCACGTGATTTGTCCCTATCGGACAGCGTTCTTTTCAACGACAACTGGTGACTGGCGGCGAGACGCAACAAACGATTGCCACCGGAAACTACCGACATCCGCCGCATTCATCGGGAACGAACACGGCTTCACCAAAGAAACGAACCGATAAGTCCGCGCCTGCGATCGTTTTCACTCTTGCCTGTCGTGAAGCAGCATGATACTCGCTCTACCAACGATGCAAATATTTGTAGGTTCCCCCGATGTGGTTTGCGGCTGTCTGCAGGTAATCACAGTGTGGTGACAAGACCGTCGACCGTCGACCGGTCACGAACTGACCTCAGGTCATGTGAGCCGCCGCCCGCCGCCACCGACACCACCACAGCTGACCGGCGGCCGGCTGTCGTGACCGACAATTGAACGACGCGGCTCACTCAACCACAGCACAGCGTGCCGCCGCCATGGCGAGCGCGGCCACGCGAGCGCCGAGCCGGGCCGAACAATCATAATACCGTGAGGGTGCGGTCAACATGCAGGGCAATACTCGGTCCGAGCCGAGCGACATGCGAGCGGGGACATTAGCAAACCCCGGCGACAGGCGGCCCTCACACGAGGCCACAACACAGCTAATGTAGCCAAATCGGCACCGGGCCCCGCAACCTAACAGACACTGTGCCGGTAAACACATGCAGTCCGAACAGATCGAAACAGGCGACGTCTAATGAAGATACACGATATCAACATATAATCAGGACGAAACGAAAACGATGCCACTTCAGGAAACACTCTTCAGCGACAGCCTCGGTCACATTTCAGAGCTCGGCCGGCGCGGCGCCTCGATGGTCAGAGACCCGGTGGCGAGCCTCCTCCCACCGCGCCAGGTCAGAATTGAGCAGCGCGGGCTGTCGGGAGCGGCCTATCGGGCTGTCGGCAGCGGCCTGGATGTGGCGGCTGTCCACTGTCCTTTCACCGGAGGAGCTATACGGGTCTGCTCCCCACGCTGACCAGACCAGCGATACGGTGAGACCACTGTCGATGGCTGGTCCCGCACTCCCCTGCGCATATCTGCGTCCGTATCGCCACTGAGACGCCAAGGGGTCCTCTGTGCGCATTGACTGCTCGGCCTCAGTTCAAACTTCAAAGCACTGCCCAAACCACGCACCCATGATTTCACACCTCACTCAGTCTACACACACATCACACGTGCCTGCGCGGCCGCTTGCCGTCCGTGCAGGGCCGCGGGCGGGCTGCGGCCGCCGCGGCCGCGCCTCACACGCTGTCCCGCGCGCTCAGTTCGACCGCCGGCGCCGGCTGCTGCGGCGCGTCGGCGTCGTCGTTAGCGGCGCGTCGGCGGCACGGCCAGCGACCGCGCCTGTTTCACCGCACCGTCTGCACGAGCAGCGCCAGCATCACGGCCAGCGTGACCGTGCCGCCCAGCCAGGAGGCCGCGCTGCCGCCGTTACGCCGCTGGATGGCGGCCATCTTGTCACCTGCGGGACACACGGCGGGGGTGTCAGCGGCTATGTCGGTGTCGGATTTAGTGTTCCCCAGACTGTGTCAGTGTCCCCGGTCCGAGTTTAAGTGTCCTCGGCCGTTGACAATGTCTACATCCGGTGTCAGCGTCTGCAGCTGGCGTCAGTGTCCCCAGCCGGCACAGTCGGCGATTTCGCTATTCTAGCACGTCATGGCTTATATCTCGAGTTAGGCACCAAAGAACTGAGCTTGTAACCTCTCATTTTATAGAACACTTCATTGCGCTTCATCTGACATTGCGTTTTATACCAGAAACTGCTGTGTTTTCTTTGCAATATGCAATAAAGCAAACAATGCCTTTCCCCCATAGGCTTATAACAGGACGGAAAGCTGAAAGTGAAAACTACTGTGACCTATTCAAAGTAACTAATGACTTAGGTACCGATCAACTAGGCGTCCGCTACGGATATCCCACTTCGTTGCAAACTACGTGGGCCAGTTTTGCAATCATATGATTGCATAGGACTACGTAGGTGTTCAACAGAACATTCACAATTATGTCTCTCTCTCTCTCTCTCTCTCTCTCTCTCTCTCTCACACACACACACAAAAAGTCTCTCCATTTCTACATCTTAGGAATAGTAGGCAATGCAAACTTGATTAGGTGGATGGAAAGGATGACTAAGTGAAAGGAATGTGTGAGTGTGATGTGTCTGTGAGTGGGAGCGAGGGCGGTAGGGAGTAATTTACAAAGAAAGTGTTGATTGGTATCAGAAGTGGTACCTATTTTCTGTGGTGCACTTCCCACGATTAACATATCGCACAGATTCACCTCTCCTGGCAGAGGCATTATTGTTAGGTGTTGCAGGTCTTAAATTGTCATTGCAAAACATGTCATACGATATATAGCTAACAAAGTTATGCACACAAAATATTCCCTCCTCCCGTTTTGCCTACCTGAACACGCCTATGATTTTCTAAAACTCTTATCTTTGAAACGTAGTGACACTCTTGCCCATGAGAAAGCTAGCTTGAAAATTTGGTTGATATTGTCCAAGAAACAACGACGTCCTAGACTTCTGAACATATGTAAAAACACAGCGACTTTTACGTAGTCATTTTTGGTTTCTTGTACTCCAAAATTGCAAATTTTTGAACTTTTTTGGTTGAATAATGTAGCTTTTGACCAGAAGAATCGGATGTTGGTTGTTCCACTGAAGTCGGTCGGGCGGTTCTCGAGATATCAAGGTGTGCCAAACCACCTCTAACTACTCACCAGCTGACGTACCCCCAAAATCGACCAGTTATGTGTTACAAAAACTTCAATAACTCAAAGAGTCGCAAAAAGTGGCAGCTAAATTCTTCAGGATATTGAGAACAATAGCTATGCTACAAGTAAATGGGATTTTTAATGCCGAATCATCTGGATGGCAAGAGTTGCGCATTGCCAAAGCCTGCTATACAGTATCGGTGCAATGCGTTTGAAAGGGTATAATGCAAATGAGATACAAATCCATACGCAATTTCAAAACAAATTTATTTCGCATGCATGATGCTTGGGAAGATGTAAGGTATAAACTTGAATTGCATTCAAACGCATTTTGGGCGATATTCATGAGTAACAGAGCACACAACAACAAGAGTCGGGTCACGGCCCAGGACAGATATTTCAGCCTATCGAGCTTGGGTGGCGTTCAGATAGGTATGGCCTGGAAGTGCCTTGCGTAATGTAAAAAATAGTATTGCTTTTCACCTGCCAGGGTATCTGGCTACGCAATAAACCATCATTCGGTTATATTTTTCATTTTGGTATCCTGGGTCCCTGAAGCGCTAGAACGCCTGGATCGCCTACTGTGCGCTGTCGGTGGTGCTCCCAGTCTCAGTGTTCCCAGACTGTGTCGGTGGTGCTCCCAGTCTCAGTGTTCCCATACTGTGTCGGTATCGGGTGTCGGGTGTCAGTGACGGTGTTGGGATAAGGCGACATCGGCCGACACCGCGCCGGGCCGCTGCCAGGTATTATGGTAAATCCGATCGGAATCTGGCCAACCCAGCCGGCTTGATTGGAATCGAGCCGCACGGCGTCGCCGGTGCCAGGAGGCGGCGACGGAGAATAACGGCAGGAGAAGGCGACGAAGGGCGGCGACGGGAGACAATGACGGGAAACGGCGACAGGAGGCGGCGATAATGTATCTGGGAGACAGTGACGGGAAAGGGTATCCAGGAGATGGCGATAGGATAGGTTAGAGACGATGACGGGAAACGGCTACAGGAGGCGGCGATAGGATACAGTGAAAAGGAGACGGTGTAGCAGGAGACTTAAACAGCAGTAGGAAACGGTGACCATGGTAACGGGAGACAAGGACTCGAGAGACGTCGCCTGACCCACCACTGCAGTTGACAGACAGGAGACAGCACGGAGATAGGGCAATGTTCATATGACTGAAAGTTGCAAAGTTTCAAATTAGGAGGGAAAACAGAAATACCATCAACGTCCCTTCCAGTCTCTCTTCCTTACCGGATCAATTTGTGTGTGGCAACTGGCAACACTGGCAACTGGTGCCAATCAATCCGAAGACGTATATTGAAATAGTTCTACGAAGTAAAAGCAATCAACCTTGCATAGAAGTTTCAAATAATTTAAACAATCCAAGTGTTTCCCGTGTTCACCTCATTCCATCGCATGTCACTGAAGCCATTAGGCCCGCACGCCAACAGTGCCGTTCTTTCATGCTCGAAGGCTGTTCTGTGAACGACACATTCTCTATTTTTATAACAAGTCGTTGCTTTAGTAATATGCTTTTTAGCCGTGAGTGTGCGCTACCTTTCCGGCTGAGGAGGGAAGCGGGTCTCTGAGGTTGACCGGAGACACGCGATATTGATCGCACCACTCGGCGGATTAGACTGAGTGCTTGTTACAGAGACGGCGTGCAGTTAAAATGCTCATGAAGGGAGTAGACGGTGCGTGACAATTGTATCGGGATGCTGTTCTTTGAAACCTTGTATGTAATGATTGTTACAGCAAAAATCTTTGGAAAATTGACATATCCCAGAAAAATGACATTGACTCATGACTGTCAATAAAGGTGTTTGTCGCAATGTTGCCAGGGGCACTCGCCTATACCAGGTGGTCTTCAGGAGGCGCCATTGGATAGTTGGAACAAGGGCGGGCACAGGGCAGCAGCTGGACTCTATGTAAATCGGCCCATCGATTACGTCTGTTCCTGCTAGCTTTATTTATGGCTGCCACTTTCGCGGTGTTTCGAGAAAGAATGTGTCTTCTATTTGATGAGTGAGACGGCGACAACTCATCATTGCCATCACATAGTCGCCATCCATGTCTTGTTATCACATAGTTTGCATCAAAACAGGTGTGAAGAAAATGAGCATTTTGTTATGTTTTTCATTTTTGAATCACCGTCTAGAGCTTTGTCGCCGCTTACATGAACAGTTTTTAAATGCTTGCTTGTTAATGCCGGCGAATTAATCTGCCAGGTACGTAATTTCTGTTGCAATACATTACATAGTCAATAGAATACATAACCCTATATAGTTCTGTGGATGCACAACATCTGTGTATCTATTTCTAACTTGCTGCTAAAATATTCATATTAACAAAATAACCCGGACAGGTGAGTAGAAATAAGCATGTTTTACTAATTATAAGTTCAACATGGTTCAATTCATTTGGTACACGGTCAGAATATTTGATAAAAAGCAAAGTTCGTCAGTTTTTTTAGTTTACGTCCTAGGAAAGGAACCAGAACTAACTTCAGAGAAGACTTGTACCGTGACTTATTTTACAAATGAATGGACTCTCTCAAGCCCATTGCAGCAAAAGACCAACGACACTGTAGGAGAAAACCGGTTTTTGCCGGCTCAAACTTGGGGGTCTCGCCGAGAGTTGCGACTGAGAGTTGTAAAACTATTGCGGTGTTGCGGGTGAGAAAGATTCGAAAAGTGGCCAGTTGAGACGGAATTTAAGTGGCACGGAATCCGGCAGGCGACCAGTAATTATTAGGTGACTGAGGCAAAAAAGTGTTGACCTCCACCAGAGAAGTGTTCAAGTGTTGGCAGAAACCAAAAGCTTCTCGGCTGCAAAATAGCTCATTTCTTCCTCGCTGGTGTCATCAGCTACTGAGTGATAACTGAGATTATGCAAGGTCACATGTTCTGAGTTTTGTACACTTAACTGACCATGCTCAGCAACTCGCGATTCTAGTGACCTATCGATGACCTCATCAACCCCATGGCAGTCACCCTAGTGACACAGTAGTGATCCCAGCAGTCTCAAATGATCCACTAGTGACCTTGGTGACCCAATGGAGCACTGATTAAGATTCACTGATTCTGATGATCACCGGTTGATCTTAGCGACTGTGCAGTGACCTCAGTGACTTATATGGCCAGAAGTTCCACTAATGACCCTGCAGTGACTCCGCAGTAACCTCGGTATCCACCCAGTGTCCCCCGGTGACCCAGCAGTGACCCGGTGACCCCGGTGACCCCGCGGCGCCCGTCACCCACCTTCTGAGACGTAGACGCGCACAGACGCCGGCCGCGTGTTGTCGGCCGAGCAGTTATAGTTGCCGCTGTCCGTGTCCCGCACATCAGTGATGTTCAGCGTGCTGCGCGTCTGGCGGGGCTCGTGCTCCACGCTCACCTGACGGCCGGTCACAGTGAGATATCAATCTGAGGCTGTTAGATCAGCACTCACCTGACAGGGTTACACACGGGAGTTTTGAGTCCAGGGTGCTGTCTCCCTAAGACATACGGAGTACGGACACATACGATGGACATGATCAGTTGGCTGTGAGTCTGGAGTTGCCGACGTTCTTCGAGGTACCAATATTAACGTTCCATGGAGAATCAGGGTTTGAGCTGGCTACCAGGTGAGCGTTGACCCATATAAACCAGGGTTATATGGTCTTTTCTACGCAGGCTCCCTACCTGTGGCGAGCCAGTCGATATACAATAGCTGCCGCCACGGAGATGTACGCCCCGAAACTGATACTGTTCCGCCCAGAAGACTGACGAGGGAGCACGCTCCGACTTTTAAGAGCCCGACTCGAAAGGATTTCATTATTTTGTTTCATTTGGATTGGTAAATTTTGTCGAGGAAGAATAATACGGACGACAATGAAGTCCTTCTTATCCTGTCGAGAACTGCTGCTTGCCAATAAAGCCAGAGCACATGATGGCCCTCTAGAAATGTCAACTGTTGCACAGTCCACTGAGCAGCCGTCCGGTCTCGAATTGACAACGGCATTTCGACAGTGGTACTTGTCTATCCAATACGATCATCGAGAGGCTCACCATTAAACTCAAGCCATCCGCTCTCGTCGTGGTGGGCTCAGTGCATGTTTCATGGCCACTCCGGCGGCCAACGGCGCCATCCTCTCCAAACTTTGGCCCCATCATTGGTCTTCGGTGTGGCATTCCTGGTAGCCGGCCCTCTCCATTCCGCCGGCCCGCCAGGTAGCTGCTTGCCATTCGGCTAGCGGCTCCTACTCAGATGTACACATGTATATAGTCACACTCTGGTATTCCGCGTGACATTCACTGTGTTGGAGCGGGTCCTTACGAGTCCAGGCACGACTTTCTCCTCTCCCTATCCACTCTCCCTATCTACTCTCCCTCTCTTCCACCCCTCTCTCTCTCTCTCTCTCTTTCTCTCTCTATCTCTCTCATTCTCTGTTTCTCTCTCTCTCTCCTCCCTTCCTCTCCCTTCCATCTCAGCAAGTACCGCGCAATTCTATATCCCTCCCTTCTATCTCTCCACCGTTTATAATGATATGCACTTGCAGTGATGACGTCGCGCACATCAGACGTCGGGTTAGTTTAGGTCGGTTAGTCTCTGACATTTATAGGCGTTCAGTGGGCGTTGCACCGCTCTACATTGGTGATCGGTCGTCGATGACCTGCCGTCTCTGACCCTCAGTTGGCGACCAGTCTTCCGTTGGTGACCTGTCCCCGTCGTTGACCCGCCGCAGTTGACCTGCCCCCTCCATTGGTGACCTCCCGCCGGTGACCTGCCTCCACTGGTGACCCGTCCTATGACCGCCCGTCGCTGCCGGCCCAGGTCGATGGCGGCCGGTGGGGATGGCCAAGCTCACGATCTATCATCGATGCCATTACACGGTCGTGTGCCGCTCGCCGGCGGCCGAGCACACAGTTCTGACAGACACCGAGGCGTCCGGCACGGTCGGTGGCCGATACCGACCGCTGGCGGACTGGCCGTCATACGGCGCGGGTGACAGAAACGGTGCGGGTGACAGAATGGTACACATGGGTGGCAGACTGCCATACGGGCCGATGACAAAGTGGTTCACAGTCACACATGGATCACAGACTGTCATACGGTGCGGGCGACAGAACGGTATGGGTGACAGAATGGTACACATGGGTGACAGACTGTCATACAAAATTGTGACAAAATGGTACACATATGGGTCACAGACTGTCATATAGGTCGGTGTAGTGGCAGAGCAGTACACATGGGTGACAGATTATACCATTTTGTGACAGACTTTCACACAAACATGCTGCCGGCAGACTGTCATAGAGGTCGGTGACAGACGGTGTCTGGTGTTTACTTACATCGATACCAGTCTAACAGACGAGTCAGTAACAGTCTGTCATACAAATCAGTGATTGCAGGCAGGTAACATAGGTACTGACCTATAGGGTGAGACCGAGGAGGTTACAAACTACGGTTCCCGGTCAACCCACAAACTGGTGACAGACTGACACTAAGCACACCATCAAGACGCCAGTGAACGCTACACAATCACGCAGCACACAGGTGGATCGACATAAGTGGCTAATAACCAGTCGCTGGCGTCACACGGTACTACAAATCCGTTCCTTGTTATATTGCAGAATCACGTCCCCCTCAATACACACGCCCGTTCAAATGACTTCGTGGGTAACGGTCGTCAAGTTAGATGTAAGTGAATCCTAATCTATAATCTAAGATTCGGAATCAGGTGAGCCACTACGATTTGGACCAAACTTGGTCAGTGGATAGTACGTAACCTCCTGATTACGATGCACCCAAAATCTAAGCTCGGCCCGCCATATTTACGAAGTTACGGATGTTTCAATTTCAAGGTCATTCGGGAGAGCTCCTACGATTTCCGTCAAAATTTGTTTACGGACACTCTAGGTGCTCCTCATTACGAATATCACACAATTTAAGCTCGGCCCGCCATATTTACGAAGTTACGGATGTTTCAATTTCAAGGTCATTCGGGAGAGCCCCTACGATTTCCGTCAAAATTTGTGTACGGACACTCTGGATGCTCCTCATAACGAATATCACAAAATTTAAGCTCGGCCCGCCATATTTTCCAAGTTACGGAGTCACAAAGTTACGGAATTTCAAGGTCATTGGGCGAGCCCCTCCGATTTTCGTCAAAATTTGTATGCGGACACATTACATGCTCCTCATTACGAATATCGTAAAAGCTAAGCTCGGCCCGCACTATTTCAAAAGTTACAGATGTTTGAATTTCAGTGAGTTTCAAGCCTCAGTAACTTTTGAAATAGTGCGGGCCGAGCTTAGCTTTAACGATATTCGTAATGAGGAGCATGTAATGTGTCCGTATACAAATTTTGACGAAAATCGGAGGGGCTCGCCCAATGACCTTGAAATTCCGTAACTTTGTGACTCCGTAACTTGAAAAATATGGCGGGCCGAGCTTAAATTTTGTGATATTCGTTATGAGGAGCATCCAGAGTGTCCGTACACAAATTTTGACGGAAATCGTAGGGGCTCTCCCGAATGACCTTGAAATTGAAACATCCGTAACTTCGTAAATATGGCGGGCCGAGCTTAAATTTTGTGATATTCGTAATGAGGAGCACCTAGAGTGTCCGTACACAAATTTTGACGGAAATCGTAGGGGCTCTCCCGAATGACCTTGAAATTGAAACATCCGTAACTTCGTAAATATGGCGGGCCGAGCTTAGATTTTGGGTGCATCGTAATCAGGAGGTTACGTACTATCCACTGACCAAGTTTGGTCCAAATCGTAGGGGCTCACCTGATTCCGAATCTTAGATTATAGATTAGGATTCACTTACATCTAACTTGACGACCGTTCGTGGGTAAGGGGATACGACTGCAAGTGGCCTGTTAACACTTACACTGGCGGTCAATGACAGGACATCGGTGCTAAGGAACATCTAAAGGTCGATCACATCGAAGCCGTTACCGTTCGACAGTGTGCCTTCCTCACCTGAATATCACTGCGCAGGTTGTACGGATTCAGGACCTTGTCGTTATGGTGCCAATGCACGAACGTCGGCGGAGTGAGTGCCTGCAATGCAGAGGGCACCAGCGCGATAAAAACCACGTGGACGAGCCTTGATGGAGCTTAACAGGCTGCGCGAATCACGATAGTGGATGTACTCAGAACGGGCTGGCCACCTTTATATACGGGCGGCCAAGTGGGCCAATTGAAATTCCGGTCCCGGCGGCGGCCGGCCGCGCTCGTTGCGAGGCTGGACCGATCGTCAACAGACACGGTAGGGACGGACCGTTTCGGCATCGGTCCGTCCGTCCACTGACGGCCCATAGCTGCTGCTAACGGGAAACGGAGCGGACAGGGGGCGTGCCAGCGCGACATCAGACCGGGGCCGGACGGCGGCCCCCACCGGCGACAGGGTTTTTACGGTGTAACGGAATTGAACTCCGTTCCGGTAAATCGCCGGGTGAGTTGATCGGTCACCAGACCCCCCCCCCCCCACACACACACACAGCGGGCGGCTGCGTACCTCTCTGATGACGCAGCTGAGACTGATGGACGTGCCACGCTCCACGTGGTACAGCCCGGTGCCCTCGATTGTCGCCACGGGCTGCACCACGCGCAGACGCGTGAAGTATGACAGCTTCCCCTTGTCCGTAGGAATCTGCCGACAAAAGAACGGGAATTAGTCAGTACGGCAATGACAGAATCACTACCGATACGGAAGAACAAGTGGTTTACTGAGCAGTTGAGCACCAATTAAAACTGCCGGCCACAGGTCAGGGTCGCTCTTATTACTGTAGCTGGGTGTGTGCACAGTGACCCACCCACCCGACTACGAGCCGCTACATTCCTACACCTCCAATCATACGGTGTGCCGGCGGCCCGGGGGCGGGCTGCGGCGTCACGCGCTGACGGCGGGCACGCGCCCCAAACACGCGGCCGCGCCGGCCGCGCCGGCCGGCCGGTGGCGCTGTGCACACACGGACGGCGACGACCTCACGCGAGCCGCCGCGCCGCCGTCCATTGATTCCCGGCGAGGTGCGCCCTCCACACGGTCATATCGACCCATTTGTCACCAGTCGACGTCTGTTGAAGGCAGCGGGTGACCCCCGTCCTCTCAGCTCAAGACAGACGCCCCCGCTGCTGACGCCGAGTTCCGGCAACTGTCGGGCTCGATCGCACTCGAGTGGTGGCCAGTTGACACCGCGGGCCGGCCAGCTGTCAGCCGGCCCTTCCACCAGTGTGACACTTGACTGCTGCTTTTGACGGCTGGAACGCACGAGCGGCACTTGCAAGTGCTGCGCACACACAGAAAACTGCGCCGATGGGCTTGAGAGCACATGGGAGCGGCGGCTGTTGTGAAGAGGTCTGAAAATGTGTTGCTGTTTCTGACGGTCGATTCGTGCCACAGTCTCAGGGTTGCTGTGTAGTGTAGGTGTGGTAGGGTTTTGGTACAAGACTGGATAGCGGCGATTCGGTAGCGGGGATGATGGCGCGTCTCCCCACGGAACTTTGTCGTGGAATGTTGTTGGGCAAAATGCCAGGGTATGGCAGAGGCAGCACACTTGTTTCTCATACAGAGACTTATGGCATATTAGGATGTTCTCGTTACTGACGCCTTGGGAGCTACATGCATACTTAAGAAAATAAAACATTTATTGGACTTGGTTTCCTGAGAGGTTGAATACATTTTATGACTGGGTTCAAGGAGTATGGCCTCATAGGTGTGTTACTAGTTCAAACGCTTAGTAAATAAGTAGGTACATTTTCGATGCATACCAATGGCTTTTCCCACTCGCACCATGCCAGTGAAAGCGCATGATTTGTACATTGTGTCGAAAACAGTTGTTGTGCCTCTTCTAGCCGTTGTTTTGTTAAGAAATTTAGTCCGAACCTTTTGATAGGAAGGATTCACAAGGACAGAGCCACGGCTAAGCGAAGCTTGTTGTGGTGACCCTGCCCTCTACCCTCCGATCGCGCAATTCCAGTTATATGGCAGAATTTAGAGTCCAAAGTTTAACGTGCGCACATAGCCGCGCACGGCCGGTCCCCTCTCTGACTTCGCCTGGCTACGGCCTGCCACCAACCGCAACCATACCTGTCAGGAGGCCCATAAATGTCAAGCGCCCGTCGCGCTTCGAACCCGGACTGTTATAACCGGGAACGCGTGCTCTCACCACGCGGAGTCCAACGCTCTACCAACTGAGCTACGGGACCGGTTTGAGCACATGGGTAGCAAAGGTGAAATGATCAAGTAGGTACTTCATTCTAGGTTTGTTTGTACGATAGATGTAATTCGTTGCAGTACGTTAATCCCAATTACGCTAGACGGACCAACATCAACGGTAGCATTCTACCTGCAAAAACTCTACCTTATTTGCTCGATGGTAATATTGATCAGCTTCAGTAGTCGTATTAGAGCATAAACTATGCATGATCCCGGCTGATGCGCAACTAAAAATGACAGATAATCAGCCAAACTACATATGTGGACACGTGTCGGACAGGCTAATTGACTTTTTATTGGCGACAATGTCCGCTAATGGTTTGATTCCTGGCCAGACCGCAGGTCGGCCGCCAAACATGCCGCAAATGGTGCTGGTCACGCACCGTTCGGGGCGGTGTGGCGGCGCCTTGTTCTATGTAGGATGGCACTATATCGCCCATATGCAGAGGAATTATAGTGTTGGATAGTGGGGTATGTACAGGTCTCGCGGGTTTAGCGGTAGGTTTTGCACCTAGAAAATTTAGTGTACTTCAGGCTATATCTTCGTCGACTTAAGCTTTTAAGTGTTGAAGATGCGATCGACTTGTTGAGTAACAAGCCGGCCATGATCGTGTAAAATGGCTTCATCGTAGATCGATTAGTTTCTGAGATATAACCGGAAAAGTGCAAAACCTACCGCTTAATCTCGCGAGACCTGTACTATGTAAGAAATGGCTTGCATCTTTGTTTCATTGCAGATCAAATGCGACCGCTGCCTGTTAATTGACCGCCCCATTCGTTACACACATAAACTAACGGGACTGAACTATTTCCCTCCTGACCATCAGTAGCAGACCGACAGTCAAGTCGACGGCAGACGGCCCCCAATGCCTATCGACCGCGCCGCCACTGACCTGACACTCGTACAGGCCCTCGTCGCGCAGCTGCGCGAAGCTGATCTTGAGCACCCAGTCGTTGTCCGCCTTGACGTGGTAGATCTGGAAGCGCTCGTCGCTGGTGAACACCGTCTTCCCAGTGGTGAGCAGGTGCCAGTCGCGGCGCCGCAGCCACGATACCTGCCGGGGGGTGGGGGGGGGGGGGTGCCAGTTGTCACGCTGCTTCATGTTCTGTGCGTCTAGGTGTGGCACATACCCATTACCCATACTAAGATATTGTGCTGTTGATTTGTTTTCTTTATGTACTATAAGAACAAGAATCAAGTATAAACATAACTGTACATGCTTATGAAAGCGGTGGAAATATTGCAGCTCTTCTCGTATGCCACAACATTACAGGCAACAAGTTTCCTGGTGGGTGGTACCTATTATATTTCATGTTCAACTTTACGATAACACTGATGAAATATCCTCAAGTAACCGGAATTTCTGTTTGATGTGAGCTTTCGACCAGGCGCTGCCTTTTACCCATTTCCCCTCCTGTGTTTACTGCACAGAGCACAGCGGTCTCAGGAGGCGCAGGGATCCCCACTCCCGGTCGGAGCACAAATGGGCCATTCGTGTGCGCCCGAACCCACCGTCACGCTTAGTAAGTCGGCATCCGTAAACTTGAAGGCGTCACAAGTATCCAGAGGCTCAGCAGAACGAAGCCACTAATCGCTCGTGAAATTATCAATTATCATCTGTCATAGCCAGAGCCCTTCTCAAACAGTACTGCCATTCAAAGTGTCAGTTTTCGTCACAGTTCAGTGATTGTTTTAATAATGCTTTGCATTTGTGACGGGTGGTAGGGCGTTGAAGACGGGGTACATGGCTTCTCCAGGCTAAGTCAGTTATCGACTGATGTAAGGCAAAGGTGAGAGTGTTGCATAAGTAAAGGCCAATCCTAAATGTTGCCAGTGTTTTGGTTCGGCCATTCTTCATTCGAGACCGCTAGAGGTTAGTTTGCCCATGACAGGGTCAGACCGTCGATAGATTGCCAGGGGTCAGAGAGGTCATTTGGCGAGCAGCAGGTCAGCCATAAATCAATACAGCGGGCCCAATAAACCGGGCCGGTCGATCCCAGATAGGGAGAACTTTGCCGCTGCAATACAAAAACAGACGGACTCCGCGGGGCGCTGTGCATGACCCTTTGTAGGGAGGGGAAGGCAGGCAGACAGGCAGACAGACAGACAGACAGACAGACAGACAGACAGACAGACAGACAGACAGACAGACAGACAGACACACAGTGGGACATAGTGAACTAATAATAGTGAACTTCTAGCGGCTGATATACATATTTCTTTCAATCTGAAATTTATTTATTCTTCGTTTCAGCCATTTTATTCATATCCTTGATCAAGTCATTTGAGATGTCATTCCCAAGTCATTCGTCGAATGTTTCACATTTCAGCTTATATTTCGGACTCCTTTAGTTCATACATCAGCCTCACTCAATGTTCCGGGTCTCATCAACTTCATATATCACATAAGGTCCTTGTGTAGTTAGCACGCATTTGATAAACTACTAGGAAATTTTTATATTGAAATAGAAGAGTGATTTGTCGATATCTCCACATAATTAGCTCAGACCCCAATGCCATTCAGCTTATTTCCCAGGCCTCATTCAGTTTACATCTCAACGTCACTCAGCCCATAAATACCCCGGCCTCATTCAGGAAATTTGTTTGCCTCATTCAGTCTAGTGCCGAGATGTCTGGAAGGCAGACTCACAGCTGAACCTCATTCAGTGAAGACTTATCGGCTGACATGACCCCGGCCTCGGATTATGTTAGTTTCGATTTCTAGGAGGATGGGATCGGCAGAGAGGGGGCCTTGCCAACGAGGGGAGGGGTGGAGGAACTGTGAGGGGAAGCATTGAGGGAGGGGTATTGGACAGCACGGGAGGAAGTGGGTAAGGGCCGCTGGAGTTAGAGGAGATGCTCGGTGGTGGAGCTGCGGGACGGGAGAGAGCCGCGGACGGAGGGAGGTGTATTGGAATTAGGGGGCTCTGATGGTGAAGCTGGTGGAGCTACGGGACGGGAGAGAGCCGCGAACGGAGGGAGGTGCTCTGACTGGGAGGGGCGGGGACAGAGGGTCGGGATCGGGATGGAGGAGGGACGGGGCCGGGGTCGGAGGCCCGGGACGGTCCGTCACCGGTCCTCTAATATAACCGGCTGTGACTAGCCGGCTATTGGAGCGATATGTCACCGGCCACCCGGCCGGCCAGCACCGCCGAAAATAGCCGCCGCAGCCGGGCCGGCGCTGATGGATGGTGGCGCTAACAAATACACCCCAGCAAACCACCGGTTACCGGGACAGGCCCCACACGGCATCCAATTCACCGGAGATTCTGTCGGAGATCGTGGCAGCACGGCAGCTCACCGTCATTTATAGCAGCGTGGTTGGAAGGGAGTGATACGGATGTGTGAGAGAGCGGGCCAGGGAAGAGTTCGGAATGAAAGGATATTCAAAACAAAGCAGAGCGTCGGGGGCTGGGAAGAAAGAGACGGCGAGAGAAGGGGAGAGAGAGAGAGAGAGAGAGAGAGAGAGAGAGAGAGAGAGAGAGAGAGAGGGGGGAGAGAGAGGGAGAGAGAGAGGGAGAGAGAGAGAGAGTGAGTGAGTGAGTGAGTGAGTGAGTGAGTGAGTGAGTGAGTGAGTGAGTGAGTGAGTGAGTGAGTGAGTGAGTGAGTGAGTGAGTGAGTGAGTGAGTGAGTGAGTGAGTGAGTGAGTGAGTGAGTGAGTGAGTGAGTGAGTGAGTGAGAAAGAGAGAGAGAGAGAGAGAGAGAGAGAGAGAGAGGGGGGAGAGAGCAGGACTGACACAATAGACAAATGCGAGGGGAAGCCGTATAAAACCTTGCAAATAAAAACAATAACGCAGTGAGGAATCTCTGGCTTCGCTCATAAAACTATCTGCTGCTGCTTGGTATCGCCACGACGCTCCGACTGCCGAGTTGATGTGTGCTCTCGGCAGTGTCGTGCCGGGCGGTGGATGGATGCTATACGGCCCGGCTCATGGTGGTGACTGAGTGATATGTGGGCCGTATGGGTCGGCAGGGCCCGCCCCCGGCCCCATCCTGACGTCACGTCCCGCAGTGTCAGCAGGATGGGGCCGATATGGGAACACAGCCGCAGCGCCGCCTCCTTTCAGCGGCGGGTTTCAGAGACAGTGCTGATATTTAGAGGCGGTTGCCAGGGGAGTCGTGGCCATATTTCTGAGCTGGGACAATAGGACCCCGGGGGGAGGCTGCGGGGCACCAGTCACACGCCCACGCGCCGGCTCTGGAGCAGAAGTGTTGGGATTTATGTGCCGATGAAGCACACGGATGGAAATATGACTTATTGACCATGCACTTATGCACTGCTGGTATTGCCATCCTTACTTTTGTCTTCATATCCAATACGCTCTTCACACTTTCCGCTGTAGATATAACGTAAATTCATATTTACACTGGGCCTTTTGATGTTTCTTATCACCTAAACCACTGTAAATTTCACATCTACCGTTGTGCCCTCACAGTTCTTCTCGATGTTCTCACCTCTGTGGGCCTGCACCTGCTGTCGGCGTTGTGTGTTGTTCGTGACCTCCTTCCTGTCCCTGCACCTCCCTCCCACCTCTTTGGGCCTGCCGTCGGAAGTCTGTGCCGGTTGTGACCTCCCACCTGCTCCTGTACTCCCTCTCACCTCTGTGGGCCTGCCGTCGGCGGTCTGTGCTGATGCCGGCTGGCGGCAGTGCAGGAACGCTGGCGTGCCCAGCTGCGCAGTCGTGTTCGTCTCTGTACCGTTCGCTGAGGTGCTCCGCTGAGTGTGCGAGTGCGCGTGCTCTGACGGGCCGTCGAACAGGGAGCCGCTGTGAGCCCAGTGGCGCAGCCGGTTACCGTCTGAAGAACAGAGAAATCATCGTCAGGGGTGCGGCACGAAACGGCGAGGGGTCGGCGGCGGTGATTTGTCCGAATATTTGATCGCTCGCGGATGTATCAAGTAAAAGGAACTTAGCGATCAACCTGAGAAATGTTGAAGTGTTACCTTCTTTATTTCTGATTCGTAGGATGTTATCAATCTAGCATATGCATTTGTTAATAGCTAAGCAACTTCTTCACGATTCCTTTTCAAAGGATTACACTTTATTATTCTACCAAGAGCAGCGTTTGACGTTTGTGAAAATCTCCTCGCTCTATTACCTACATCGGAGTTTCGGCAGCTGAATTTGGTCTCCTATCGACCCCGCCCGACCGTCCGCAGTCTTCTGAGCACGCGGTCCTCGAGCATTGGGCGGCGGTGTGCCTAGTCTGCATCTGGCCCCGGGATGTGATCGGGCATCTCGTCAACTCTGCGGCCCTGCGGCGGCGGGAGCTGACGGAGCCGGAGCCGTGAGCTGACGGAGCCGCGGCGGCCCGCTCCAAACGCCGGAGACAGCAGCTGATTCAGAGCTCAGCGCGTCGAGACTCCACCGCCGAGCTGCCGAGATGAAACGGCAGCCGCGCACCGAATGAAAAACGCCGTGCCTTTTTGTTGACCTGCGCTGCTAAACCTTTGTGCCGACGCCGAGTGACTGGGGCCGGCCTGTGCTGAGGACTCTCGTGTGTAGTGGTGTAAAACCGGCGGACTGCGCCGGCCGAGCCTCACCAGTCCCTCACAGTCGGATCGGAAGGAGGTCTGGGTACGGTGCGGAGCCGCGATCGGCAGTAATGTGCCTTGTGACACTACAGGGCTAGCGTGAGATTCATCGCTATTTTTAATGCCTCCAGCCATTACATTGCAAGCAACTCCACTCGAAGGGAAAAGTCCATATATCGCCAAACGCGCTTTGCGATTCATAGACTTTTCAATTTTGACGCGTCAACATTTCTTTTAAGCTTTTTTTTACTTAAGTTTCTACATATTGCCAAACTTCTGAAAGGAAGTCATTTAGCAGGCAAATAATTCAAAGTACGTTGTGTTTAGAAAATCAACCCGTAGGTATTTGTTCATTCGAATTATTAATGGTATACTTTTCAGAGTCTCAAGAGTAAATGTATTTACTTGTATTTACTTGTATTTACTCTTGAGACTCTGAAAAGTATACCATTAACTTATCAACCTGAGTAAAAGATAAAATGACTTTAAAGTCCCACATTCGAATTATTGTTCGTGTGGTAGGTATGTAATGGAAACATTTCATCAGCATACAAAAAAAGTTTTATATTGGAGCTCAAGTTAACGTTTATATGCATTTGTAAGTTATTATTGTTAATGGTAGGAATTTAGTGTTATAATTAGTATGTAGTATTAGTATTAGTATTATAATTTATAATTATTTTTTAACTCCACACTATCATTCAGTTCCATTATTTTGTCGTAATTCTTTTTATTTCTGCTTGCTTATAAAGTGTGATTTTCCTTCCAAATTTCTTTCATCAATAACTAATTGATAGCAGACTGGTTAGTTTGGGAAGCAGATTGCATTGCAGGCAGTGGTGCTGCACAGACTAATTATATGGTCCAGGCTGCAACTGGGGACTGAAAGCAGAGTGCCATGGCTTGTTGCTTCTTTGTTGCTTCTGCGGGGCTTAGGTCAATACCCGGTCGATGCGCAATCAATCGAGGGTCGATTCAGCCCACACACCCACGCATGGCTAATAGCAAATTTTCCACATTCTCCTTATGTACTAAACAACATACCTACCTACTAATTTGATGCACAAGTATAAAATCACCAACATCAGGAAGCGGATATTTAGCGGATATTAGCCGTTTTCACGACGGGCTATCAGGCGAATGCACCCGATTTGACCAAATCTCCACCTAGTTTCTTTTACAGCAAATATCTTCATTTTATGAATTTATTTCAGTGTTTTAATCGATGATGCTCTCTGAAAATAATTGACAAAGCAGGCATATAAGCAAATAGTGCAACCCTAGCTGATAGCTGCTAAGAGACACACTGAACTTGATTTGACCAAATCTGCACCTAATCTGTACCAGATGTGCACCAAATAAGTACCAGATGGCCGTCGTGAAAACGGCTATTATTGTATCTTTTTATCTTTTGAAATTTTATCTTCTATCATCTATTTATCTTTTGAAAAAAGGAAAATATTGACTAAGTGTCTTTTAACCCGGCAGTTGCTGGGGTATTTCGCCACCCACCGTTTGCTGGGGGGGGGGGGCGTTAAACGCCCCCAGCCGATAACTCGAGAACCAATAGGCGCAGCGGAACGCACGAGGCGGCAAACGAAAGAACGCGACGAGACGCTTCAGATGAGTACTTTAAAGTTGAATTTTGAGGTCACAGGTCGGGTCAAGGTCAGGTCAAATACCTGAAATCGGGCTTTCAGTAGCATGGACTTCAGGACTTCGCAATGGGCGCCTCTCGTCATAAACTCTGTCAAAACGGTGCACAATCCATCATATAAGGCCTACAAGAGTGTCAGCTCCATGTAGGGGTCAGTCAAGCATAGGTCAGGGTCAAGGTCAGGTCAACCGGGTAGGCACATATCCCCGAAAAAATCAAAACTGATATTCGCAGCCTGTGACACATGTTTTATGGGTAATTTGGGGCGTAGAACACGATGGTGACACTCATTTTATCATATGTGTACGTGTTTGGCTCAAAAAGTTGAATTTAAGAAATGCATGTATCATGGTCGTGAAGAAGTCACGAGAAATTGCCGAGATTCTGTTCGAGATTTTGGAAAATGCGGAACGATAATCAATAATCGAAGATAGCCATTTGATTGTTCATGGCATTGGCAGTCTAATGGCGTTTACGGCATGTCTGTATGTCTATTCTGTGATTTTATATGATTTTTTGAACATATGCCGTTTTTGGTCGTAAACTCAGAAATCATGACGTCATTAAAACCTCGATATCTCAAAAATTTCCGACCGATTTTTTTGAAACTTTGTCACAATAAACTTCAATCAATTCCCTACAGGTACCCAAAATTTGGCGCGCCTGCAGCGCGCCGTTTTTTTGCTATGGCCCGGCGAAAAAAGTGGGGGCGTTTAACGCCCCCCCCCCCCAGCAACTCGCGGGTTAATGTCAAGAGATGTCAGTAAGTTGACATTCTCTCCTAATATGCTACTCCCATCAATGATATTGTGAAGTGCGTGGTTGTTCGTTTTCCTCTTCATACAATTCATATAGATGACCATTGACCAGTCACTCTACGACTGCATCGTTTTAATTGCTTGGATTATGGACGAATACCTTCGGGGATCACTATGACATTCAATTTGCCTTCGGTGTCATCCCCGGGATTATGTGGCCGATCCAACAGTTCTGTCGATTTTGCAATGACATCCCGCCGGGAAAATGTTTCAGGATTGCTGATATAGTCAGCTGCGTCAAATGCGCAGATTAATATGTTATGTTCGTGTTATCTGTGTCGCTATGAACAATGAGCTTGCCCTGATTATTAAAATTAAAAATCACTTGTATCATCAGATATGTTTTCTAATGGCAACGAATTTTACTTCGTTGTAAAGGAAAATGACGTGTTTCTCATTGCTCTGATTGTTCTTAATAGTTTTAAACTGTTTTAATTATTGCAACGTTACTCCTTATCGTCATCCAGTGACCTACTCTGTGTGTGTCAGGGACTTAAATTAACCCGCGCCGGGCCGGTGCTCCGTGACTTCCGCGCCGGCCGGGGGAGGGGTGTCTGAACACCACCCCCCGCCCCGTGTAACTCGGCTCCTGGGCCACGTAGCGACACGCGGTAAGCGGCATTCGAAAGAGCGTAAAAAAAATGACGGAAACACCCCAGTCATTTTTTGGATCAGGTCAAAGGTCAGGTCGCCAGAGGTCATCAAAGGTCAAATGTAGTCCATTTCAACAACTTTGGAAACTGCCAACGGCTAACTCGGGAACCAATAGAGCTACAGCGCTGCGGAAAAGCGTATTCGATAGCCCTTTAACAGGCATTTCTGAGCATTGTTCTCAGATTTGACCTCAGGTCAACGGTTTAGCCTCCAGAGGGCAAAAACTGTAAAAATAGCAGTTTTCACGAAGATGGTTTTTCGTCAATAACTTTTGACTCAGGAGAGCCACGACTTTACTGTTGGCAGCATCGTGTTCCTCTCGTCAAGACGCGTCGAATGAACTATTTGTTTACCTTAAAAGGTCATTTTGAAAATTGGCCTCAGGTCAAGGTCATGACCTGACCGGAAAGGGTCATGTTGCATATCAGTCGATCCGTATCGTCGAGTTGAATACATCTGACGTGTTTTCATAGCTCTAGCACGTCTTTATCAAAAGTCATAGCCAAAAACTGCTGGTGACCGTTCATGACCTGAGATGACCTCAGGGGCACACAAAGAGTTCACAGGTGCATTTTTCCGATTCAGTGTGTCATGTTTACCTATGAACCGATGTTTGAGAGGGTTTTGAACATCATTCGTCCAAAAGAGGCGCATTTCAATTTTCTCCAATTGACTTATAATGGAAAGGTCGCAAAATTGACCTGACCTTAGGTCACCTATATCAAAATTCCGAGATAAACATTTTTTACATACTGTTACTCTTATCAATCGCTGAACGTTTTAACCTTCCAGGCGGTGGGGGGGGCATTTTTTTGCCCCCCCCCCTTTAGTTTTTTTCGATATATCTCGAGAACCGCTGCGCCGATCGTCACCAAACTTTCAGTACCCTCCCGGGAGTAGCTAGCGCACATGGTGACCAAAAATTTTTCTAAAGGCTGTGATAGGTTGGCCGCTAATGACGTCAGAGTGACGTCATTTCTGCCATTTTCGACCCAAAAAAAGGTTTCGCGGGAAGAGCTGTCAGGCCTATAGCTTTAGAGATACAGAAAAATGTTTCTGACATAAAAGGTGCGGAATCAAGAGGGCTACAAAACTGCTATTTCGGTTTTTCGAATTTTTTGGATTTAAACCCCCA